TAACAGCTCTATTACCCATTGCTTGACCTCCAGTTTGGTTATGAAATATAACAGCTCTATTACCCATTGCTTGACCTCCAGTTTGGTTGGGAAATATAACAGCTCTATTACCCATTGCTTTCACCTCCACATACCCATTGTTTAGAACAGACCAGTTAAGATATTTAAAATATAGTTTAGGTTTTCACCTTTATCACTTACCACGTTCCTCACATCACGTGGAGGCTGAGTATTTTCGCTGTAAACAGAAGAGATATCCTGGTGGTTTACGTATATATTTATGTTTTTGAGAGAATTCTGCATGCTGGGAGTTTGTGCGCAGGAACAAGATTAACCAAATGGTTTAGAAGTTTTGTTTCTAAGATTCATTATGTGTTCTCACCCTTTAACAGAGCTGCATTTGAAAACTTTAGGTTAAGTGGCAAATCTGATTTATGTTCTTTAGACCCCCTAAAAATCGCTCTTTTCCTCCCTTCTCAAAGAATAAAAACAATTAGTAGCGTTTTTAAGCTTTCGTTAATGGTAGACATTTTTATAGAATTCAACCTAAAGAAGTTAACGTTGGGTTGACACACATTATTATGGTCTTTAAATTTACCACTTATAAACCACATGAAAAATAATTCCCTTCTCTTCACTATGGACGTAGATGGAACCACCTACCAATACTTCTGGTCATTATGGACGTAGTAAAAACCACATGAAAAATAAATCCCTTTTCTTCAATATGGACGTCGGTGGAACCACCTAAACAATAGTTCTGGTCATTATGGACGTAGTAGAAACCACATGAAAAATACTTCCCTTTTCTTCAATATGGACGTCGGTGGAACCACCTAAACAATACTTCTGGTCATTATGGACGTAGTAGAAACCACATGAAAAATACTTCCCTTTTCTTCACTATGGACGTAGATGGAACCACCTACCAATACTTCTGGTCATTATGGACGTAGTAAAAACACATGACAAATACTTCCCTTCTCTTCACTATGGACGTCGATGGAGCCACCTAAACAATACTTCTGGTCATTATGGACGTAGTAAAAACCACATGAAAAATACTCCCCATTTATTTACTATGGACGTCGATAGAACCACCTAAACAATACTTCTGATCATTATGGACGTGGTAAGAACCACATGAAAAATACTTCCCTTTTCTTCACTATGGACGTAGATGGAACCACCTACCAATACTTCTGATCATTATGGACGGAGTTTGAAGTACCTAAACAATACTTCTATTCTCTTCACTATGGACGTTGATGGAACCACCTACCAATACTTCTGTTAATTATGGACGGAGTTTAAACCACCTAAACAATACTTCTGTTCATTATGGACGGAATTTGAAATACCTAAACAATACTTATGTTCATTATGGACGGAGTTTGAAGCACCTAAACAATACTTCTGTTCATTATGGACGGAGTTTGGACAACCTAAACGATACTTCTGTTCATTATAGACGGAGTTTGAAGCGCCTAAAGAATACTTCTGTTCATTATGGACGGAGCTTGAAGCACCTAAACAATACTTCTGTTCATTGTGGACGGAGTTGGAACCACCTAAACGATACTTCTGTTCATTATGTACGGAGTTTGAAGCATCTAAACAATACTTCTGTTCATTATAGACGGAGTATGAAGTACCTAAACAATACTTCTGTTCATTATGGACGGAGTTTGGACAACCTAAACAATACTTCTGTTCATTATGTACGGAGTTTGAAGCATCCAAACAATACTTCTGTTCATTATGGACGGAGTTTGGACAACCTAAACAATACTTCTGTTCATTATGGACGGAGTTTGGACAACCTAAACGATACTTCTGTTCATTATGGACGGAGTTTGGACAACCTAAACAATACTTCTGTTCATTATGGATGGAGTTTGAACCACTTAAACAATACTTCTGTTCATTATGGACAGAGTTTGAACCACCTAAACAATACTTCTATTCATTATGGACGGAGTTTGAACCACCTAAACAATACTTCTGTTCATTATGGACGGAGTTTGAAGCACCTAAACAATACTTCTGTTCATTATGAAGGTAGTCCAACTATATCATTCTTTCACTAAATTGTGTCAGAAACATGATAAGCCTAACGATTTTAAACATCTTAAATGATTAGGTGAAATGAGCGCTATGTTTTAATCTAAGCAATTGATACGTATTTTTTATGCTTTCAGCCAAATATTAGATGTGGTTGTATAGTAGCAATATTCATGCTCATTACCAAACAAGGCAAAAGGAAACGTTAGTACAGTTAAGTAGTACAAGTTAATAGATGTATAAATTTTAACATAGAATCATCTATCAGCTTTTATGAATTTCTCAACATAATTCATCTTTTAATATACAAGCTTTACATTGTTCAACAACAACAAGCAGACAAATTACTTACGTTATCATATCTGTCATCTAGATGCAGTCTGAGATTAATAGAACTACTCTGAACAATAGTTTCTTACTGTGTATATTGTGATGTCTTACGTTATCATATCTGTCATCTAGATGCGGTCTGAGATTAATAGAACTATTCTGAACAATAGTTTCTTACTGTGTATATTGTGATGTCTTACGTTATCATATCTGTCATCAAGATGTGGTCTGAGATTAATAGAACTACTCTGAACAATAGTTTCTTACTGTGTATATTGTGATGTCTTACCTTATCATATCTGTCATCAAGATGTGGTCTGAGATTAATAGAACTACACTGAACAATAGTTTCTTACTGTGTATATTGTGATGTCTTACGTTATCATATCTGTCATGAAAATGTGGTCTGAGATTAATGGAACTACTCTGAACAATAGTTTCTTACTGTGTATATTGTGATGTCTGGCAATAGCTCGTAATCAAAGTTATCCATCTTAGTTCAATCAACGACAGAGGGAATTGTTTCAAAGACAACATACAATCTGTTACGTTGTTCTTACAAAACACGATTAATCATATTTATAAACGTGTGTGAAGTAACCGTCCAGTAAAATAATGGCTAAGTAAAAGTACGAAACCTAGATATTAAATATGGCTTAACCTTTACTCACACATATAACCCTACTTCCCAGAACATGAAACATGCACTCTATTTCTCATATTTAAATACTTACAGACATGACCCTAATTTTCAGAACAATAAGTGTAGATTCCATTCCTTATCTTTAAATGCTGACGGTCGTATCCCTACTTCTACAAACAAAAAACTTGCACTATGAAAATTAGGGTTAAGTCTGTCAGCGTCTTAGGGTAAATTAAAATAAGAAACAATCGCACTATTTCTTACCTCTTTCTTATCAAAGCAAAACTATTCCATATCCTTAGACAGTAGCAGGCATAATTCTATTCTCTAAACCGGAAATATATAATATTATTTTCGTTTAGGTTACTATAACTCAACCACTTTGCTCAGAACAATAATTATGTTTTTACCTTTAGGCTGTTGGCAGACGTAACCTTGTTTTTCAGAGCAAGAACTATCGATCCATCGTCCAGCTCGCACAGGTGATCCTAACATTGTAACACATCGTTTCTGGATAGAAAAAACACAAACAATTTGTTATATTAACTAATACTGTAGAAAACCATTATCTTGATACTCGTTTGTTTAGCACCATAATTAACCGAATGTTGTCCATTTTACATCAAGAAACAAACTATTATGATCCTTGAAATCTAACTGTAGGAGGCTATTATTATTAAATTTAGAACATCCTAGAATGTTCCACGGCTTGGAAGATAGCTACAACAGGGTCTTTAGTAGAAGAAAAACAGCCAATAATGTTCCATGGCTTATGGGTACAACAAACTGTCCCTAAGATATTATCAATGAAAATATCAAGAACATTCCAAAATGTTCCAAAGCTCAGAAGCTAACGAAAGCTTTGTCCTTGAAAGATATAAAAAATATTATTGAATGTCACACGGATCAGTAGTTATCTACAACAATGTCCTTAAGAGACCAAAAATGTTTCTAAAATGTTCCACGGCTTGGAAACTAGCTTAAAAATTTCCCTTATTACATTTATAAACAAATCAGCCTCAGTTATGGTTAACTTGATTGAAACAGAATTAAACCGTAGTTTCTCTGATGTCACATGGCCAAATGGAACCTAGTTGTTAGCATACTTGGACTATAGGTCTTATGGTTCGTGGTCCGCGTCCCGTTTTCATAAAAACCGTCCTACACTTTAAGGTCGATGGTGCTGTATAATAGTAACGGTCAGCTCTCAGTACTCGGTCAAACGAAAGTCCAAGAGTTAGTGGTGAGTGCTGCCTTCCCTCCAATCTATGAGTTCAGATTTAGAAATGACTAAGTGCAGCTATCCATTTGTGTTGCTTTATATACATATTTCTGAAAGAAACAAACAAATCTAAACGACTTTAAAGTCAACCGGTTAGTTACCTATTTCATTTATTTTAGGTTTAAGATTTCTTGAAGTGAGCTATAAAATTACTCACCCAAAATGAACTAGGGCTGCCAGGGGCCCAGTTCACATAGAAAATACGTGTGTTGTCAGTCCAGCCAAAAGTCCGAGTGAGCAGTCCAGTTGAACTTAGCCTGCTAAGTCCAATCCACACATTAAACCGTTTGTTCGTCAACATGGTACTCAAGAGAACTAGAATAAAAGACAGTGTCATATATTACGAAAGAAAGATATTAGGTTTGCTGATCTCTAGCAAAAAAGCGTTTAAATTCATTAGTAAATTTGAAAAAGTTTCTCCAGAATTTTATTTATGATTGGTCGTCGTTTTTTAATTGCACTTTCAGCCTATTGCGGTGCAATAGATTCCATTTTAATTTTATCTTCTGAAAATTACCTACATGTTAATGATACAGAAATATCATACAGTTGAAATCCTATAAAACAGATGAGCTACAATTAGCGTTTTAATAATACAGTTTCAACAAAAGTGACTATCTTTATCCCCTCCCACACCAAGCACACTTATATTGCAGGATTGAACCTTAATATTATATAGCCAGAATATTTAAATGTTTTTGTTGAAAATACAAAACTCATAAGTTTGTTTTTAAAATCACGGTTAGAAATGTGTCAAACCTACGTAAGTAAATGACGATGAGAAACACAAGTAACTTTCCCCTCACATTAAAAACATTCTCTTGAACTTCTCGTTTAATCTGATATTTATCTGATACTTTTAGATAAATTGTTAACTGATTTAACGTCTTTATCAACTCACGTTGTTCGATCTCACTACTAACACTCGCCAAGTCACCATTCGTACCCACTTTTTTACAAGCATCACGAGCGTCTGTCCAGGCAAGTTTGTTTTCGTCCTTCACACCAAAGAACTTGAAACATTTACTGCTCTGTTCTACATATAGAATAAAAATATGTTACATGGGTAAAATAATTCAACAGTACACAAGAATTAAACTAATAAAGTACTTTAAAGATTTCAATAACAACTATCAACTCGTTACATGAAGTGTTGTTAATATATAACAAAGAACTATCCCGTTCCTTCGGGAGTGCTCTAGCATTTACTAGATTGGGGGGTGGTCTGATATATATATAAGATGGTCACGGCGTGACGTGACAATGTGTGTGTAGACAGTGAGTAATTGATCTGCAGTCAGAGAGTATTATTGAAGTTGAGCACGTTCGTTGTTATAGCGTTTGTTTTAACGCGATTGTTGAAATTAAGTGTATCGTAAAGTTATATTCGAAAAGAATAAACCAGTTTTATTAAGTAAGGACTTGTGTCGCTAAAGTTTCGTCGAAACGAATTTACGGGAAATCAATTAACAAACGGAGACGTAACAATATGAAATAAGGGAGGAACTGCAGTGGGTAATGAGAGCTATTCGGAGAAGTGATGCCTGGATGACAGTTAAACATAATTGATGTTGATTTGTTGGTTTTAAAGTGTTTTGATTGGATATAAAAGTAATTTATTTTTCGTAAAGACTAATCATCAAATGTTTGAAATAAATCTGGTTATTAATCAAGGCTTACCTTCTTTTAAAGTTAAGATACCACTTCTGTGGTCTAGGTTTACCTACTTTTAAGGTTAAACTATTACTACTGTGGTCTAGGTTTACCTATTTTTAAAGTTAAACTACCACTTCTGTGGTCTAGGTTTACCTTCTTTTAAAGTTAAAATACCACTTCTGTGATCTAGGTTTACCGTCTTTAAAAGTTAAGATACCACTTCGCAAATATTTGTCTAAACTGGGAGAAAGAAGTTTGTTTTTACGTTTAAAGATCATGATCCCTATAGCAACAAAAAGAACAGGGTTCTCCACACTAAACGACTTAAGAAACCTACGTGATTTCTCTATCTTAGGTGGTGTTAGCCAACTTTGTGTAAGAATGGTGACTATTCTGCGATGTTTTACATTTAGAACTCGAGTTTTGTATGAAGCAGGTTTTTTTATCTTTGACAAAGTGCGTATGTTGCGAACGGTTTTAAAATCATTTAACTTTTAGAAATCAGGTTTTTTAAACCAAAGATTAGCTAGTTTTAGGTCTATCTAGCTGCTTGACACGGACAATAATTTGTATGATTTTTTGACAGGAAAGTGGGTTCTGAACCATTGTAATTTAGTGGAAAGCTTAATCTGCAAGCGTCCACACGGTAACCTCCCTACCCCCATACCCACGAGTGAACCACCCAAGATCGAAGGCAACTGTCCAAAAGGCTGGACTTCAATTAGTAAGTTCTTAAATTCTGTCTACAGAAATGTTTGTTATTAATATTACACAATATGAATACTGCATTTGGTATGAGAAGTCTGTTGTTCACCGAATCAAAATAACGGTATGTTTGTTTGGATAAAGGTTAAAAATTATGAAGAGCATATGTAATCCCTAGTTGTAATACGTATAAAACAAACTTTTAAACTTCATTTTAGAAACAGTAGAATTTATCGAACTATCGAAAAATAGAGATTAACAACTGCGTTTATTTCTAGAAAAATAATTCTCTCGTTAAATTTTGAGTAGCTTAAGCTGTTTCTAAAACCAAACCAGAAGTTATGTGGTCCCGTGTCATTAGCAAAGTCTAATCAGTGTTTACTTCCCTGGTATCTGGAAAGCTTTTCAACTAATTACATTCACCACTAAGTAAGATTGGATCTGTTGCTTGAAATATAACATGTCAAAATGTCGTGAATTACCTGACGTTGAGAATTGAAATTTCAAACTGCTAGAAGATTAAAAAAATCAGTATTTAAAGTGGTCGTGATGCTTGGTCACACACGAACTACGGTACATGAGAATAATGGAAAGTGTCAGGAATTTAACAGTATAGCATCCCACAAACACCTAAATCTTGGAACGTGATGGATGTTTACTTTAAAAAAAAAATAGCAAGAAATGATACTTCCGATACAGTCACAATAATTTTATAGCGTTCTTTAATGTTAATAACAATGTGATAACATTTTTGGAGAAAGTGTTGTTAACATATAACATTCATGTAACGAGTTGATAGTATTGTGAAAGTGTTGTTTATATATAACATTCATGTAACGAGTTGATAGTATTGTGAAAGTGTTGTTAATATATAACATTCATGTAACGAGTTGATAGTTTTGTGAAAGTGTTGTTAATATATAACATTCATGTAACGAGTTGGTAGTTTATGAAAGTGTTGTTTATATATAACATTCATGTAACGTGTTGATAGTATTGTGAAAAGAAAGTAGAGAGCGTGAGAATCACGTGACCTCGCTGACGCAACACTGCCCCCTCCTTAGTATTGTTCGTCCCTAACAATAACCACATACAATAAACCAATAACATTTAACAATAACTTAGTTAAATGTACAGAATTACAAACACAAAATTACAATTCAACAAAGTCTCTTAATTTTACGGGGCGTATCTTCTTCCATACTGTTCTCTGTCTAGTTGGCTTCTGCTTCATGTGGGATTCATCTGCT